TTCAAGGACTTATTTGTTTCAAAAAATTGTCCAGTGACTTAATCATTCCAAACACTGAAGTCCATTGGGTTTTTTTTAGACTTTTCCCTTGAAAGTATTATGATTTTTCCACAAATTAATCAATTATTGTAGTTTGAAGCATGAAATAAGAGGTCATTTACCAAAATGCTTACTTGGTACGTGCTTACCAGTAGAAATCAACATTATAATTTATTGCTATCAAATAAGATTGTAATACATCAAAACGGTATCCTATGCAACAATTTACCCGGTAAGCGCTTACCTGGGTAAGAGTCGTCATCCTCACTTACCGGGTAAGACTCTCCATTATAATCATCGTTTTCACCAGGTAATATTATTGGCCCTTGCTATGTTAATCCGGTGAGGAAAATTGTCCGGTAAGCACTTACCGGGTAAACGTTTAGTAAACGGCCCCTAAATCTATTTATTTATTTTTAATTTGTTTATAACAAGTAAAAAATTGTGACGTAACTATTATTATTCATATTCAGTATTGTTCAATCTTTATCGGTGACGATTTTAGTTTATTCAACAAGATCACGTTTATTATTGATTATCAAGTTATTTAAGATAATAAATGTAACCATTATGTCATGTAACGTAGCAAATCCTTTTTTAATAATAATTAATTTTAAATATATAAAAATTAATATAACATAGGTAACACATTAAAAGTTAAGAATTTACAATAGAGATTCATAAATCTTGATATTAAAATATCACTTTTAATTACAGAAATTAAATTTAAATAATAATTTTACACTAACTTTAAAATTTCTTATCAATTTTCTATAAAAAATAGAACTTTTAATTAATTTTTTGATTCAAAATATTTTTCGTAGAACATAGTGAGAAATAAAATATGAAATTCTCAGAGGGGCCGTTTACCAAACACTTATTCGATAAGTGCTTATCGATAAAATTTAACACTATTATTTACTTACCGGGTAAGATTTTAGTCCACCAAAACGACACCGTATGCAACAATTTGCCCGGTAAGCGCTTACCGTGGTAAGAGTCGTCGCCCTCACTTACCGGGTAAGATTTTTGGTCTTTGTCTCGCTCTTACCGGGTAAGATTCTTGGTCCTTACCATGTTCATCCGGTGAGGTAATGTTACTTTGTAAGCACTTACCTGGGTAAGCATTTGATAAACGGTCCCTAAATCTGCCTAAAAAATAGTTACTAGAGTAAACAGGTCAGTTAACTCGGGAATTGTTTTTGTCTTTTTAAGATTTTTTTATATTTTAATTAAAAATAAATAATATATATGCACACAAAACCACATCGACTCTCTTCTCCCCCTTAGACCACCCTGTCAAAACTCGGAACCCCTCCACCGACCACTCCCTTCTTCTCTGACGACAGCCTTTACCTTTGGTCATCCCGTGATTAAAGGTAACCAACCAAACAAGCGTTACTTTATGTGGGTCTTGTACCTCCATCGTCCATTTCCACCATGGCTGTTGTCGTACTCCTCTATATTTCCTCCTCCTCTCCCCTATTCCCTCAAATAGTGGTAATGCCAGTGGTATATTTGATTTTATTTAATTTTGGGATATTTTATTATTTAGAAACAAAATACTAACCCATTGAAGACGACGACTCTCCAGCTCCAAAATCTGCAAACGCCCATAAAATCTTTAAATAAATTGTTCTGGAAATTGACTAACACTTTCTTCTTGATGACAAACCGTTTTTTGTCCAACAAATGAACCAGATCTCGACGATAGATAAGCAAACAACAACAAATACATAGAGTAAATATTCAGTAGATCCACCACCATCGATAGAGACTAAGGAGCTCTCGAATCAGTTGTCTAGGGTGCTGAGGGGAGGGAGTCACGGTGACCACCTCCTTCCCGATGAAACACATAACCCTCCATATCTTCCTCGACGAATCTGATCTACAATCGGAAAGACAACCCAATAAAAACCCAAGGGGTTATAAGTTCTATAGGTTTTCAGTATGCCAACGTCATATGTGTTCATGATATTTAATAGTATCATTAAATCCAAAAATATTCAATATTAGACTCAATTTGAATGTGTTGACGAGATGATTATAATAATATAATTTGTAAAAAAAGAAACACAATTTTAAAAGCATTTTAGTTTATACGATTATTTATGTTAATATGATGATGGTGTAAAACGAAAAATAAAAAAAGTAAGAGATATAAAATAAATCAAACCACTAATTATAAGGGTACAAAATATAATTTTGAAATTGAAAATGATTTGATTTTCAACATCGTGTGTGGTTGTAAGCTTTAATAACTTGTACAATATTCTCAACTGGTTATTCCTTTTAAAAATTCAAAATAACCGACTAGAAACCTATTTATTTATTTGGAAAAGTTATAGATAAAGAAGAATTTATTCAATCACATGGTTTGGGAATTTTCGGTGAAGCGCATAAAGATCAAAACCCCCTCTTAATAGCATGTCTATTAGATACATAATTTATCACTAGAAGGGTACTCACGTAATGCAGCGAGATACATCTTAATTTTAATATTTTATTTTATTTTTTATCTCATTCGATTTTATAATATGGTCTTATATGATTTTGAAAAAACGATGATGTTTTTATTTTTGAATAAAATATAAATTTGAAAATATCATAAAAAATTGACAAAAATATATCGATATTAATATCAAATTAACTATTTAAAATTTCTATTTTTTATGTAATTTTTCAATTCAATTTTTTTATTATAATTTAATTTAGGTTCAATAATGAAATAATTTATATTTGATTTAATAATATAATTTTCTTATAAAGATAATAATTAATAATTTTATTAGAATTCGATAATTAAGACTTATAAAGATAATAATTAATAATTTTATTAGAATTCGATAATTATCCTAATTCTATTTTAGATTTTTTATATTTTAAAATAAGATGTTTATCCTTTATTTGATTATATTTATCCGCAGTTAGTTGTACGAATTCAAACATGAAGTTTTAATAAATTAAACTTATGCATAATTTACTTTTAATCTTGAATTTTAAGTTATATGAATCAATATAGTATAGATATAATAGATAACTTATCAATCATCAATTAACTTAACTCGTTTTTCCCAAAATATCATGTCTATATATGTACATATAGATTTTTTTAAAATGTGAAGAATCTTTTACGATGCTCTTACAACCCCAATATCCAACAAAAATAGAGGATTTGTTTGGTGTAGGATAGAGAGACATAGATGAGCGATGATGATTTAAAGCAATTAGTAGGGTGAAAGTGAAATCGATCACGGCAGGTATATCTAGGGTTAGGGTTTGACAGAATCTTGAAGAAGACGACTACTTTTGGTTGATTTGATCCAATGATTCCATTTTCCTTTGGCAATCGACCCAACGTTTTCCAGGTATCGATTCTCCTAAATCTCATTCAATTATTCTTCACTACATCAGGATCATCCCTACATATAAACAATCCGTCGCACCTCAATCAATCGACAATCGAAATTCATCAATTCATAGATCCCAATCCGAATTCAGTTTCATCTCCAATGCCTGCAAAGAAGCTTCGGAGGCTCCCACACGTTTTCAGCAAGGTTCTCGAGCTTCCTCTCCGATCAAACGCCGATGTTTTCATCGAAGATAGATCTGAATGCTTCAGGTTTAGAGCAAAAATCGAGGACAACGCCTTTTCCGGCGAGGTGAAGGCTCATGCCGTGAAGATTCATCCGGAGGTGACGAAAGTTGTTGTGAGAGGAGGAAATGGTGGAGGAGAGGTGGAATTGTTGTTGGATAAATTGGAGGTGGACGTGTGGAGGTTTAGGCTTCCGGCGACGAGTCGACCGGAGTTAGCGACGGCGGTTTTTTTAGGTGGAGAACTTATTGTTACGGTTCCAAAGGCATGGAAGGTTGAAGACGGAAAGGGAAGGTTGGGGCGATTGCAGGGGCGGCTTGTATATGCAGTGTAATATCCATATTTAGGAATTACTTTTTGTGTATTGTTTAGTGAATTAAGTTGATGAAATAATATAGGGTAAAATGTATTAAATATCAACCTATTTTTATAAATTTTTTATTATAATATTTTATTTTAAGTTTTTTTATTACAACAATGTATTTTTAAAATATATTTTATTAGAACATTGTATTTTTAAAAATTTATCCGTTATAGCATTGAGTAACCTATTATTTTTTGAACAAATTTTTCTTTATTGACGTGTTAAACTTAAAACCAGGGGTAGTCATGAGTTGAGTTGATCGGGTTGAAGACATTTGAACAACCCAACCCAATGCTTGCGGTTTGAAAAATCTTAACCCAACCCAACCCCACCCAACCCAACCCAACCCAAATCGTACGGGTTGGTCAGGTTAGTCGGGTTGGCCGGGTTGATACTTTGGTACATTAAAATATTATTCTAACCTTGAATACATTATTTCTCTACTCATAATTTATTTTTATCATCAATCATTTGATACAACTTATCCATACTCCTTACGTATATCACATTCAGTTAATTTTCTCAATTCATGTATATATGTTTACAGTTATTGAACATATATACGAATGAGTTATATAAATATGTGTATATGAATAGCGTATGTGATAATGTAATTGTCTAGTCTATATATTAATAGAAATTCAACAATCATGTTAAATTCAAGAAATAAATGGACATCGGGTTCATCGGGTTGGGTTGGGTTCAAATAATATTAACCCAATATCAACCCAATACCTACGCTTTGAAAATTTTACAACTCGATTAAACATCGGGTTGCTTCGAATTGAGTTATTTCACGTTGGGTTGGTCGGGTTTTTGAACACCCCTACTTAAAACTACTACCACTTGAAAGTTTGATGACTATTAGCAAACTGTGAAACAACGATCATCTTCTACCCTAATCTCCCTCCCAATTCCTTTGTGAAGGTACTTCTCTCTTTCTCTCTCTCTCTTTCTCTATATAGAGGTCTATTCAAGGGGGAACTGAGTATTTGTGGTAATCGTGAGATTTAATCTAATCACATAAATTAATAATCTATGGCTAAAAATAAAGGAAAAAATAATTATTGAAATTTAAAAAATAATTGATGAATAATTAATGTTAGTATATGAATAAGTGCAACAGGGTCAATATCTATACTATATTATAAAACATTTGGCTAAAACTCTTAAAAACTCTTAAACTCTTAAAACTCTTAAACTCGTTCAT